GTTCTATAGATACCTAACAGAATTTGATCAAGTGTTGCTTAAAACAGATGAGAAAATTATTAAAAGACTATATGATTTTTTACTTGACAGGAAAATGGAAGGAGAACAGGTTAAGGAAACTATGATAACATGGGCACAAAACTTTGGATATAATGTTGAACTAGAAAAGTGGCAAAAACTATGGGAAAGAAACATTAAAGTAACTTTAGCAACTTCAAATAAAGAAAACCTATATAAAATGTTCTATAGATGGTATTTGTCACTAAGTCAACTAGCTGTTTCCAAATATGTCAAATAGATGTTGGAAATGGAAACATAAAGTGGGTACTTTTTATCATATGTGCTGGACTTGTGACAACGCAAAAAAGTACTGGATTAAAATACATAGATGGATGGAGAAAATATTACAAAAACCCTTTGCTTTTAAACCCGAAGTTTTCTTGTTGGGCATTATACTGGAAGATGTTAACAGACAGGAAATCTATTTGATGTCGCATCTAATTACAGAGGCGAGGATTGCATTTGCTCAGTATTGGAAAAGTGAGGAGCTGCCCACCGATGCGTTGATTCTAAGAAAGATCTTGGACTGTGCAGAAATGGATAGACTAACTTTATCGTTGAAGGAGAAAGAGGATACTGATTTCTATCGAACTTGGGACTCTTTTTATAATTGGCTGGAGAAATGGGACTTGGCATAAATTTAGAGATGTTTTTCAAACTATGATAAATTAATTGGAATTTGATATTAGAATGTTAAAAAATGTGTAGTAGGAGGCTGACCCAGTGAATCCAGTGTTTGTGATGTTTGATGGGGTTTTTTTAGTGTTAGTTTAAAAATTTTAATAATATATATATAAATATTCCCTTGTTTGTTTGTGTTGTCAGGTATGGAAAAATGAAGGCTAGGTCCAGGCGGTGCTGTTAGGATTGCCAGGTTGTAACTCTGAGTCTTTGACAGTATTTTAATCTGCTATAGTAAGGGAGGATTCAGGGGATTTTCACATAGTATACACATTTTTAAAACTATAGCACAGCCCAATCCTAATGATTTTTTTATCAGCTATTTCCCACTGAAGCCAGTGGGAATGCATTCCAGCATAAATAGGAGTACATTCCAGTATAGCTAGGACATTCCAGTCAACTGAAAACAATACTATTTACTTCTGAATAAACATGTTAGGATTGGGATGGCAGATGACTCACACATCCCACTGAAAGGAATATCTACTACAGAGGTCCCCAACCTTTCTAAACCTTTGAGCACATTTGGGAATTTGAGAAATAGCAGTAGACATCACCCAAAATGGCTCCTATGGAGGATGTGACTAGTCACATAACGGCTGCTATTTGGGCGGGGGGTGGGGATTAGTCGAAAGAGAACTAAAAAGCTATGGGTGGGAGAAGAAATAGTGAGGGTAGAGGCTGAGAGGGAGGGGAAAATAGTAAGGAAAACGGCTAAAGAAAGAGCAATGCTAGAGGCTAGGAAGAGGAGAAACACTGAGCTAAAGAGGTAAGTGAAGAGATGGAAGGTGGTGATAGCAAAGAAAAGGGGAAGAAAATAGAAAAAAAATTACTGTATCATTTTCCAAGGTTTGGTTAAAACATGCTTCACAGGAAGCAAGGAACAGAGAACTTCATGGATGCCACTGGAAGCTGCCATGGGTGCTATGGCTCCTGCAGGCACCATGTTCTGGACTCCAAACGATGGAGTTTCAGGTTACTGGCTTAAGGACGTTTACTTTGGAGTATGATCCATCAACTTCAGTGGGAACTCTGACAGCACCCTAATTTCAACTATGCATTAATCCAACTAACCTGTGGATCAAGGCCAGTGTGAGCACAGAAAGCACACTACAAACAAAACACAGCTTTTAAAAGGTAAAATCCTTCCATTACAATCAATGGACTATTTTTGCAGCATAAATGCTGGGTAAAACATTCAGAGATGAATGTTGTCTGGCCTCCAGCAACAGCATTAAAAAGCTGGTTGTGAGTCAGCTGGGTTGAAAGAGAATTTTATTACAGCGTACATTGTGTTAGGAAGATTTCAAATGGTTGGGTTAATTTTGACACATTTTCTTTGTTTCTTATTTTATTCCAGTAACTAACAGGCATGATATTCCAGACCAATGGTCAACTGTGCACATCTTGTGTATGTTGGATAAAACATTGTGCAAAATTAATTTTCCTGAAAAAAATATAAAAAAGTGACCTACTTTTCTCCAATAGGTACATTCCTGATAATTTGTTCTGTGTTTGAAATAACAGCTTTATGACTTCTTTAGTTTCCTGAGGCCTATGATAAAATGATGTCATTTAAGTACACCCAATTTTCCTGCTTTTGGATTTTTTCAATTTATTGCTCAATGTTTTTCAAATTCTCTTTTTATTGGAAATAGCTCTGGAGAAAATCAAGGAATACCTCAGGGAAACATTTTATTTCAAAGTTTTTTTGCTCTGTCTGTCTGTCTATCGAAGCATTTGTATACCACCTTTCAATCCTGTAAGGGCCACAAAGTAGCTCATTTCCCTATTAAGCAGGAGGCTGGAGCAAAACTCCTATAAGAAAAGGTTACAGCATTTGGGGCACAGTAGTTTAGGAAAAAAGTGAATAAGGGAGAAATGATAAGAGGATCAATAATTATGCAAGGTATGGTGAAAGTAGTTAGAAAGTAGTAGTTTCTCATGATACCTCTTCTTATTATCCCATGAAGCTGAATAGTGGGAAGTTCAGGACAGACAACACAGCACAGAGATAAACTATGGAATTTGCTTCTTCAAGTTTTGCTGATGTTCACTAACTTAACACTGAGAGAGGATTAGATAAATTCATGAAGGATAAAGCCACCCCATCATAATGGCTATATACTCCTCTCAGAATCACAGGTGGTGATGCCTCTGAATCCCTGTTGCTGGGGAACAGCAAGTGACAGGGGCTAGGGGCACTGTGTAAACAGGGCAAGTGTTTTGGCCTGATTCAGAAGGGCTCATCTTGCATTTTAATTTTGCTACAACTTTAATCTGATGACATATATGTACCAGAAAGACAGAATGCTACCTCCTGATAGTTTTTGCTGTTACATAGCGCTGAGTTGCCCTGGCTTATGTTGACCCTATGAATGGATGACTTCGACAGCTCTGTTTGGCTCTTGCAAACTCAAGCCTGTGGCTTTCTTTAAGGAGCTGCATCATTTCATAGTTGCTGTTCCTCCCCTTCTGCCTTCAGTTTCCCCCAGTGTTATTGTCTTCTCCAGGAAGCCTTGTCTTATCATGTGCCGGAAACATGTCAGCTTCAGTTTCATCTTTTTTGCTTCTAAGGAAAGTTCTGTCTTGATTTAATCTAGGACCCACTTGTTTGTCTTTCTGTCCATCCAGCGTATTTGCAGATCTCTTCTCCAGCTCCATGTTTCAAAAGCATCTATTATCTTTCTGTTAGTTTTCTTCACTGTCCAGCTTTTACACCCACACACAGTGATAATGAACACAATCAAGTGTATGATCTTGGCCTAGCTCTCCAGTAAAATGTCCTTACATGTGAACATCTTTTCTAGTTCCTTCATTGTTGCCCTTCCAAGTCTCAGTCATCTAATTTCTTGGCTGCAGTCTCCCTCTGAATTGATGATTAAGCCTAGGTATGCAAAACCTTTCAAAATCACAAGTTCTTCAGTGTTGACATTAAAGTTATGTGATTCTTCTATAGTTATGATTTTTGTTTGCTTGGTATTCATCTGCAGTCCTACTTTTGCACTTGCTTCTTTCATTTTCCCCAGAATCTCATTATGTTAGTACCATGCATATATGAATAAATATGTATATATTAATATCCTCTAGTAACACATGGCAAACTATCAACATCTAATAGGGCAGTGGGATCTCATCCATTCACCTGATCCAACCCTATTTACTTGCTGTAAAATGACATGTGGAAATGAGTCTACATTCCAGTATCAATAGAGCTAACATGCATTATTGTACACAACCACACCCAGACTCTAAGGTCTTAGTATCATATGTTATTGGGTGTATGCACTGTGTAATATGTAAATATATGTCCCCATATAGGTGTTGTAACATAAGCATTGGGAGTGAGGGGGGACTGCCATCCCGCTAAATGTATGCACATCTCTGCATTCACTGTGCAAGGTTTGCCTAATGTGAGAAAAGTTGTTCAAGTTTTATTTCACTGTGAGTGAGACACTTCTATTTTTCTCTGCTTCTGCTGTCCAGTTATACCTGCCTGACACAAAGACTGAATCTCAAACCAAAGTATGTGGTCTGATTGCAATCACAGCTCTGTGCTGCTGAAGGCCTTAGAACAAAGCATGTAGTGATGCTGGGTCATGACTAGGGAAGCACAGGCAATCTGTCTGAGGGTGGGAATCCATCAGATTCTGTGAGCTCAGCTCACTGGACTCTGGTCCACTTTGCTGTGGCCTGTCAGAGCTGCTGGAGAGCGCTTCCAGTATTCACGGGGCACTCACCAGGACCTGAGCCCCCTGAACAGCACAAGCAGTGTCCCCCTTCTGCATCTGCTACCACTGATCACTGGGAATGGCACCTGGTGCACCTGCTCAAAGCACCTCTCTTCTGTGCCCACTGCCAGCACTGGTAGTACCAGGTGGGGAAGAATTTAATCTCCAGAAGCGGCGCCACTTGCAGCACCCCCATCCTGCAGCTGCTCTTTGGGCTGCTGCACCTGATGGGGAAGGTTTCCAGTTGTTCAACTGGAGGTCCCTGAGCACTCATGAACTTTCTCTTGGATCAGCTCACTTTGCAGGACTAGGCTGAGCACAAGAGGCAGTCTGTGGATGCTAGAAGGACAGATTCCAAAAGTATCCATTCCAACTGTAGTCAAGACCATTAATCCAAAATTTTCAAGATAATTGCTCTTTTTGTTTGGTGCTTCCCTAAGTATTTACTTTTTCAATCAACCAATTATCTCTGGAAATAAATGGTATTGAACATTTCTGGACATGGTAATTAACTAAATCACTGCTTACCATGGATGTCGGGCTGCCTGCTCACAGGTATACCGTTTATTGGGATCTTTCTCCATCAAATTCCGAATAAAATCTTTAGCTGTTTTTAGAGAAAGGGAGAAGGGAAAAGAAATAAATATACTAGATGCCTGAAGCAAGAAAGGCAAACGGTAGTATTAAAGACAAATCTTAATCTATGACAATGTTTTCCTAGGAAACACTGAAAAAATGAAGTAAGTAGCTGCTGGTAGTAGATTGGGTAAGAAGCATTTTATACACATAAGGCATTACAACAGTGATAAGGAACTCAATCAAGTGAATGACCAAACATTCAATTCTACACTGTTTCCTCAGCCATTGGCCTTCCTTTTATTAGCGCACTATCTGTATTTGTCCGTTGCTCTTCCCTAGTAGCTTGCTGAATGCCCTTCAGCCTAGGAGTCTCATCTTCTGGCACTATATCTTGTCTTATTTTTGATTGTTTCCACTGGGTTTTCAAGAAATATTCAGAAGTGATTTACCATTGCTGCCTTCTGCACAGCACTAACCAGAATTAGCTTGAGTAGCATGGCTGTTTTCTGCAGAAGATCCTCCCCCTGTGTTGTCTTCAACTATTGCTGCCCATTAGAGGCTTCTCCAACCCCATCACCATTAGAAAGATGCATTCTCTTTTGCTGATGTGACTGTTACTCCTGAAGAGGCTGGATGCATCTTAGTCTGGTATCTCAGCTTTCATAGTCTTGAGTGACCCTACTAGAAGACCAGATTAGTGAGAGAGAGTGGGCCTCCCAGCAGAATTGCTCTTGCCCTCTCTGACTCTCTCAAACTCCATCAGTATATTAAAGCGTCAGTTACCCCTCTTAATTCTCAGATTTAAGCAGAATACTTTTCAGCATCATCTTCACAACTATACAAACTAGAAACTTGGTGGTGATAATGGTAGCAGTTATGTTAGATGGTTACACACCCCAATCGTGGAAAGTGTAGGCTATTTTCTTCTTTTTTCTGGGGTAGGCATCCCCGGGATTGCACCATTAAATGTTGAAGCTATAGGAAACATGTTCTATAAGAAGTTCCAGACTGCAGACAGGGAGATGAGATGATGCATTGAGGAAGAGACAGAGGCAACCCTCTAAATAACACAGGAGATGGCGCAAGGTAGATTTCCAGATATTTTGGATTTGAGCTTCTTGAAGCTCTGGTCAATGATCAGGAACGCTGGGAGTCAATCCAAAATATCTGGACTTCTACTTTCTGCCCATCCCATTCTAACACAGGAGTAGGAAATGCCAGATGTTGTTGGACA